GGGGGGGGGGGGGGGGGGGGGGGGGGGGGCAAGTGTCAAGGCAGTAACTACTGACAGGCCAGGCACAGATTCTGAAGGCAGAACAGATACATAAGGCATTAACCGCTTCGGAACACTTGTCCATCGCAAGCTCTTTGTTGATCGCATGAGGAGCAGCTGCAGAGACAGACTTGTCCATCCTCAGCCCAAAACAGCCAGGAGGGCAGGTGCTGTCCTGGAATTTCAGTGCTTTGCAGCTACCTGGGCTGCAATGAGAAGTGCGAGGTGATGGCAACATTGGTGACCCCTGCACTGCCCTGCCCTTCAGCCCCCTCTGTGCCACAGAGGCACCCAGAGAGCTCGGGGCTCTGCGCAGGCAAGGCTGGGGTCCAGCCAGGCCAGTGCTTGGGACACCAGGAAGGGCAGCCAGGCATCACCCAGATGTCACACCCTCTCCCCTCTGGAGATGTCCTGTCTCAGGTGAGGAACGGACCAGCAGTGAAGTGGGAAATTGTGAATCTTTCCTAATAACACATGAGGGGCATGACCAAGCTGAGCCCATGCCAACAGATGGGGAGGGCAGGTGGCGTTTAAAAAGTGTAACCGGGCAGGACCCCCTCCCTAGAGGATACATGTTACACATTTAAGGCATCATGGTTACAGGGAACATCCACAAATGAAGCTGCCCAGGACACTGACGGGGTGGAAAGGGCAGGCAGACAACAGTTGAGCCAATAAACTGATTTGACAGCTGCCTGGCACCAAAATTCTTCAGCTACTTGGAGGCAGTAGCTACCCTGAGCTGTGCGCAGGAAAGCCAAGCACAGGATCCTAACAGGGGTTCCTCCCCTTTGGCACCTCCTAGATAAAGGAAGATGGGGAGCAAGGAAGGGCCTGGCAAGGGAGTGGGCACTTCCCTCAGTGCTGGGGCAGCACAGCCCCAGGACGGGCAGCTGGAGACCAGATGCAGACAGCATGGTTTGGTCAATGCACTCAGCAATTCTCTGGGGAAGGGGCACATAAAAAACTGAGCTCTCTGGTCAAATGATAATGGGGGTGACAGGTAAGAGGGTTCCAATGTCAGCACTTTGGTACAGGGGGGGAATTCTACGGTAGCCACTGTCTGATTCACGGCTCTCTGGGGTTTGGCCTCAGGAAGGGCTAGTCCTTCCAATCCTTCTTGATAGTCAGGTTCCACTCCCAGGACAGGTGGTCAGTCTTATCATCATCTGTGAACTTGGATTTGATGTTGTAGCTGCCCCGGGCCAGCATGCCCTTTGGGGCCTCTTCCATGGGGGTCAGAAACTCGTACTCCTCTGCTCGGGGGCCATAGCTCCCAACCATGTATTCGGTCTTGTCAACTGAAAGGACAAAAAGAGGTGTGTGGAGGCTGTTCAGGAATCTCCCCTGCATCTGGGGCAAGGCTAAAGCAAACGGAAGGTCTGTTACTGTTACAACAATCTGTAGAGCAGCAGCTCTAACAATAGGAATCTCGCCCAGTTCAGAGCTCCCTCCCCGCCAGGAATGGGCCCCTCCTGTGGGGAGTGACCTTGAAGCGCTAGCAATGCTGTCAGCTGTGACCTCCTTCCTGCCAAGATCAGGGGGGAAATGTGCTCGGGGAGGGGATTGGGTTCACATGCTGTGTAGCCAGGACCACAGGCTGCCCCACCACTGCAGGCCCAGGAGCCTCTGCAGAGCTCCACGGGCCCAGTGGCACTGAGGACTGTCCCCTCCCATGAGGAGCTGCTGGGCAGCCGCTGTCAGAGCAGCAAGATGAGCAGGAGGCCCTCACTCACACACAGCAGCACCAAGTCACAGAGAAGCACTTACTTTTCACGCCTTTCCGGAACGTGTGCTGGATGTACTTCAATCCTGACACAATTTCCCTGTTTACCTACAGAGAGAGGAGCAGGGACTGAGCAGGACTCCATTCACACTGCCCACCCCACCTGCAGGAAGAGCCCATTCCTTCAGCACAGCCCCACTTTCAGGGCACAGGACTCCCCAAGCCAGGACCACAGCAGTCTGGTGTTCCATCCATTCTGTTTCCAGATCGGAATCCTTACCCTAAAGGAGATTTTTATCCGGTATTCCACGCCCTCCTTCAGCACAAATGCTTGCTTCTTGTAGCTTTCCAGATCACCTACAGAGATGGGAGAGGGTTGCTCAGAGCTCCTTTGTGCTGTGCTGTGCTCTGGGGTGAATTTCCGTGGCATGAGGTAGCTGGGGCAGGAGCTGCAGGAGCAGGGAATGACTCTAGATGCGTGGCCCTCTATGCTGCCAGAGCCAGGCAAACAATGCCCTGCAACAGGACACTGTAGCACAACCATGCAATTAATTCCAAACTGTTTCTTTGCAGAGTGTGCCCCAAAGCTGTCACCATTTCAAAGCTGCCATGAATGTCTCTGTGCAGGCTGGAAGAATCTGCCTGCCCCATCTGGCCCCTCACACCTCTACAAAACACCCAGGTATCACAGAATTGCTGCTGGCTCCAGGTACAGAATCCACTGGGGCCCAACCACTGTGCTCTGCCTCCAGCACTTCTGACATAAGAAGGTTCACCCACCTTGCCAGCAGTGCTCCTGCTGACTCTGCCCAGGAGCAGGGCTGGAATTCCCTCCCAACTCACCTGTCAGGTCCAGTTCCAGGGGGCCTGGAGCAGTAGTGCAGACCAAGGTCAGTTTGGTCACCACCACATTTGGAGCATTGGGATCTAGAGACAAGAGAAAAAGGTGTTGAACACTCATCCCCAACACTGGTCAACACATCTGCTTTTCCTTCCAGGGAACTTCTTGAAAGAGCATGAAAACCAGCAAAAGCAGCCTCTCTAAGGGTCAGGGCTTCAATTGCACAGCCCACAGTCCTCTACAAAGGCAGAGTGCCAGCCCCACCCTTCAGTCCCTGAGCCCTACACTGCAGGCCAGCCATGGGCATGGAGGAGCAGAGACACAGCTTTGTGCTCTGGGCTGTGCTCCTGCCCAACACAGAGCTGGGAGAACAGCTCCCAGGTGAGAGCAGAGGCAAGGCCAGAAGGGAGGGACCAACACATCCCAGGGCTCACCTGCACTCACGGTGACGGCGCCCAGCAGTGCCTCTTTGTACTTGCGCAGGCTCTCATCATCCTTGTCCAGCTCCTGGATCTCCTGGATGCTCTTCTGGGCAGGTGGCTTATAGTTGACAGAGTGTTCATCCTCCTCATTCTCGGCTGCAATCTGGGCCAGCTGCTCTGCCGTTGGCTCCTGCTCCGCCATCCTCACACACGTGACCTGCACTGAAGTAGAGAGGAGAGGTGTGACTGCCCTGACCAACCACACCAGCAGCAGGGTTCCCCAGAACTGCTCCCACTCTCACTGGGGCCCTTCATGCTACCTAACCCCTGGGAGACAAACCCTGCCAAGGGCCTCCTGCAGAGCCCCCCAGAGGCCAGGTCTCATCTTCAGCCCGCAGAGGCCCAGGCAAGAAAAAAAAATTCAACCTCAGTGCTTTGTTTCTAATGTAAAGACCCAAAGCCATAGGGAAGACACAAGATCAACCAGGTGAGGCTTCCAACTGGAATAAAGTAGAGCCCAGAGTAAACCCAGTTCTGCTCTCCACAACAGGATTCCAGCTAAGAATAGGCCTCTGTCTCACCACTGGCATGAATGCCAGGAGCCTCTGCTGGGATCTGGTGCTCACGTTTTGTAACTCAGGTCAGTGCTCTGTGTCAGGTGCCTTGGCAGAGTGGGATGAGACACCTGGCTCAGCCCTTTGCAAGGATCTGTGGCACACACAACCAGGGGAACGGGCAAGATGTGGAGACTGGCTCAGCTGCTCAGGACTCTGCCCAGGAAATGCCCAGCTGCACCAAGGGCTGGGCAAAGGTGATGCCAACACTCCATTAAAATCCTCAGTAAAAGCCAATGACACATTGAGAAATTCTCAGTGTTCCACAGGACACGTTGTCTGAAGGGTTATCCTATGGCAAATATCAACTTGGACTCTAAAGACTCGGAATACTTCAGCACAGCTTTAGAAAGGCACTGAGGCTATACCACAGGCATCTGTGCCAGGAGCTTTTCCTGCTGTACCTGCACAGCAAACAGCTGGCCCTTCCACACGGCATCCTCCAACGTCTTCGCGCTGAATGATGTGGAAATTTTTCTTCAGAAGGACATTTAGTCTCATGTTACAGATGAACAACTGATGAGATTTCATGCCAGTGTCTCCATATCAAACCCAGCTTCTCCCAAACAGCTGCCAGGCTTGAGGACCCCCAGAAGCGCCGAGCAAACAAACACTCACTCACACAACCTGCACTGCTCCATCTCCTCGCTGCATCCTGCCAAATCCCCTCCTCACATCCTTTGGCTCGCCTCTGGGCTAGATTATACCTCCCATGGCCCGCAGTTCATTCTAACTCTCACACCTTGCTCTGAGGATATCTGCAGCTTCCAGGAGTGGAAGTGACAAAATTTCAGCTTTATAGAACCGAAGTCCCAAACTTGTGGTGACTCCCAAATTCTGTGACTGGGCCTTCTGTGACAACACACTAATCACACACATGGCAGAGGATCCACTAGCATCCACATACCTATCTCCAGCAGTGGTGGGTACACTTTTGTGCATGAGCATCCACAGGCACCCTCAACCTTCCAATTTTCAGACCAAGCAGAGACAAAATCTCTCAGAAACAGCCGGATCAGTGACAGCAGGAGCCATGAGGCAACCTCTGCTCCAGCACCTTTAACTCTTGGAGACAGTGCTCTGTGAACAAGAGCTCCAGTGCCAGCATAGCTCACATGGATGGGAGACAGCTGCACTGACTGGAAACAGCCTTGGCATTCACAGCCCTGACTGCCAGCAGCTGCTCACGTCCAAGATCCAGAATCCTCTCCTAAGCAATTTGGAAATGCACTAGTTTGGTGTCAGCATAGAGCTTCTGCTCCAGTGTAACACACGTGGTGACAGTTTCCTCCCACACATCACTAGCCCCATCTCTCCACCAGACCCATGAGGAACCCCTGAAACTAGTATTTAGCACACAGGGCACAGAAGAAAGCCCAAACCAACCAAAAACCCAAATCCCCAGCTCTTTGGTCACGTTCCTGTGTTCCACACTGACTTCTGTGATCCAGAGCTGAAGAATCATGCATACCACCACACAGATTAATCACAACCCACCCCAACCCCGATTTCTAAGGTGACAGGAGCCCATCAGGACTGAAAACACCCCTGGAGACTAGAACCAGCGTGATTCCAGTCAGTACTGCAGGCTTGGCTCTGGGGAAACAGCCCTCACCTTTCCTATCAGCTTACCCGCAGATCCTGGGGATCCCACTGCTCCGTGGAACAGCACAGCCCCCCGGGAACTGCCACGGCTGCAGGAAGGGACCCCAGCCTCTGCTGGAAACAGAGTATAGGAGGGCTCCTGGATCTTCCGAAACAGACCATGGCTCCCTGCAGATCCTCAGGATCACAGCAGCCTGTAGAAGGCAGCAGGAGGCTGAATCCCCATCTGGGAATTCACTCTGCCTTCACTCCTCCCTCAAACCAGCAGTTTCTTCCGGATTCTCTGCATGTTTTGTGCGGGACAGAGCAGCTGCAGCAGCTAACGCGAGAGCCCCACCTCCTGCCAGGCAGAATCACCAGCGGGAATATCCCTGCTTGTGTCCAAGCGGATAGTGGGAACCATTGACTTCATACCCCAGAATCTCAATCCCATGGCAGCAGCAAACCCAGCATTAGTCAGTATCTTCAGATGAGCTAATCAGCTTCCGACATCCATCAGGCCTCAGTGGCAGCCGTGGACGCAGCAGTGCCAGCTCCAGCAGTCCCCACCCTTCCTTCTTCCCGCACACAGGGAAAGTCTGCACAGCCACCCGGGGAACTTGGCTGGAATGTGACCAGAGCAATAAGTGTTTCTACAGGGCCCTGTCCCAGTCTGCTCTGCCAGGACGAGGAGCCAGACAGCCCGACCCGGCCTGGTCGTGTTCCGTGTTCCACACGGACAGCTCAGATGTTCCCAGGGCAGCACAGGGGACAGGGGGGACACCGGTAGCACAGAAGGGACAGGAGCCTAGCTGACACTTCCTGAGGCCGGGTGCTGGCAGGGCACATCCAGGTACCACCGCTGCACCAGTCACTTTGTAAGAGCATCTGAGGGAATTCTCACCCCACCTGATCCCCTCGGCTGTCCCACAGCCCCAGGCAGGAAGGACACGGGGAACAGGAGGACACACTACTGCCCAGTGAGGACTCAGCTGTCTGAGGATGGAAGATTTTTTTTGTTTGTTTTTGTTCAGAAATATCCCTGACCTGTCGTTCACCTGCACGGGGGAACTGTGCAGAGCCAGGCACAACTCTAGAAGCATAAAGGCTGCTAGCAGTGCTGCACCAGGGATGAAAACCAGCACCATGGGCACCTGGAGCCAGGCCTGTGACCCACCTGTGTGTGTCAGCAGCCGAACCCACACCAGTGAAACAGTCCCCACTCTGCAGTCATGGAATAAGATCTTCCACACTGGAAAAATGCTCGGACAAGCGGAGCAAGAAACGCGGCCGGGGACTTCTCTAACCACAAACAAACGACGGTAACGGGTCTCGGGAATTCGCCGCTGCTCCCGGTGGAGTCATGCTGGCAGAGGAGCGCAGGAACCTCGGCTCCTGTGCAAACCCCCGGCCGGGGCTCGAAGCGCACCCGGCCCGCGGGGTGGAAGGGCCCTGCCTTGACACGGAGCAGCCCGACTCCGGTACAGTGTCCCCCAGTTCCTCATTCCGTAGCGAGCGGCCATTTATGGACAACCCGTACGCGCCAGAGGCACCGCCGATCCCGGGACGTGAGGGGCCCGGTGATCCCCTCCACCGCCCCTCAACCCGAGCACCGGGCCAAGCCCACCGGGAGGTGCCCCAGCCCCCCAGGGGAACGGGGGCCGCCCGCGCTCCGCGCTCCGCCCTCGCCCCACGCACTCCGCTCCGGGACGGCCCCACCGGGGGCAG